CACACACACACACACACACACACACACACACACACACACACACACACACATACATACATACATACATACATACATACATACATACATACATACATACATACATACATACATACATACATACAAGGGAGTGAATGCAGGGTGTGTACAACAGCAGTGCAGTGAGCCTGCCCGCTTTGAGATGTAGCCCTGCTCATGGTTGGCTGGTGACCCAGTGTGCTAAACTGAAATCAGTTTAGCTCTCAGGCTGAAAAAAATTCCCTGCCCTGCCTTACAGGATTGATTTAACTTGAGGATTAACCATCTAATCAGCAATTATGAACTAGTGTGTGTACATGAAGCAGCCTGAGTACTTCTATGCACTGCAGAAATGTTGTTGTTGTTGAATAATAATAATAATAATAATAATAATAATAATAATAATAATAATAATAATAATAATAATAATAATAATAATAATAATAATAATAATAATAATAATAATAATAAGATGATGATGATGATGATGATGATGATGATGATGATGATGACATTATTATTGAAAAGTGTATATGAATTGATGTTTAAATCTGAAGAATTGTAATGATTACTACAGCTTTTAGTAAGAACATCCCTACAGTCTTTTTCTGAACCTCTGCCACTCAGCAGCCAGAGTGCAGGTTTTTGATTGGTTTGAATAGCGACATTTGTAAATATATCAAGGTCCTGTCTTGCATCAAGTGCCTTTTAATGTTCTGAGATGTTTTTCACAACAGTTGAGGGTCTCAGTCTGAAGCCCCTCGAGATCTCCAATTGAATACTTATCTCTTTCAGTCCCAAGGTTCATAAGAAGTCGATTTTCTAATTAGAAACCAGTAGTTAATCCAGCCAAAAGCTTTCCAATGAGAGTCATGATTTATTTGGTGAAAATGTAGCAGCTCAGTATTAACATAATTACAAGGTAGAGAGCAAAGGAGCTTTTCTGCACAGCCTCCCCTGATTTGGTTCAAATTGCTAAAAGGGAACATATTGCTCACTAATAGCTATCCATTTAGCCATTAGTCAGCAAAACTTTCCCTGCATACAGCCTTCCCTCCAGCAAATCTCACACAGGCGCAATCTTATTTTCAAGACAGGCAATCCATGATGGGCCTGTTTTTCCCCTACACACCACTTAGTCAGGAGAAATTGTAATAAAAGAATTACAAGGAAGGCAAAACTGGAACAAATAACATAAGCCTGATGGTCCAATTTTCCTTTTAAAAATTGGTATGTTTCTTTCTCGGACATGTTGATTTCCTAATAAATATTGATTATTGGATAGGCTGAACCAAATAGGATTTTGGATGGGGTGGTGAATCCACCATCAATTCTGTTTTTCATAGTATAACATGATGAGGGCATATCGCCATGGCTGCTTGTATTCTACAAAGCTCAAGTCTGCAGGAGCAAATTCAGCTCATTTTCTGCCAGCAGCTAAGGATGCACACATTCACATGTCACATTAAGCTATGGTTTGTTCATTTAGACATGAATTGTCCTGTAGTGTAAACAACCAAACACATCATAGTCTGTTTCCACATTTCTAATTTGTTTGTCTCCCACCCTTTTTCCTGGGTTCTTGCTTCAGGCTGGGCAGCCTAGGAGGAAAAGGAAGAACATGTTCTGGTGAGGGCCACCCCATGAGAATGGGGGATAGGCTTGCTTTGATTGGAATGTTTGAACAGAACAGAGAATTTTAGAAATTGAAGCTTGTCGTGTAAACAAGTCCCTTCAAAAGCCAACAACAAATTACAGCTTCTAATTGTATCTGGCTGACAAGTTATGGATTTTTTTTGCAGGGAGGGGATATGAATATAACAACCAGCTGGAATTCAACAAACCACAATCTGGCCTACTATTATATGTGTATCAGGCAAAAACAAAAGAAAAATGAAAAAATAAAGAAGATAAAAATCTTATGGCACCTTAAAGCTAACTGCTATATTTTAACGTGAGCTTTCAAGCAAGTCTACTTTTTGCCTGATATGCTAGCACAGACTAACATGGCCACCTCTTCAAAAACTACCATTATATGTGTATAAAGGAGGAAAACCTTCAGAATACCAGTGATAATCATTTTATTATTATTATTTTGTGGATTCCAATATTTTTGGCTTTATGTTCCTTTGGGATCCTTCTTGGGTGAATCTCACTGAATTAAAAATGCTGAGGAATTTGTTTGTAGTTAGATGCAGCCTCTTTTACCCTTATTAATATGCAAACATATTCCCAACTTTCAACAGGAAACGAAATACTCACCATACCTCCCATTCTTTTAAGCCCATTTGTTGCAGAACCATGCCCTCTTTTACAAAATGTTTTTGTAATTCCCATTTCCGTAAAGTAATCATTCCAACATCTCTCCTGTCATTTTAAAAGTGCTTGTGTTTTTAGAGACACAAAATGTTTTGATATATATGACTGTACATATCAGGAGTGACATGGTCAATTTATTTGTTCTTTAGATCAATGCTAAAGATGATGAAGGTGTGGTTGTTGGTTCATGGGATAATCTTTATGAATATGGAGTAGCACCATCATCTTGGACTGGAAGTGTAGACATTCTACTGGAATATCACAGTTCTAAAGAGCCAGTGCGGTACGGTCAGTGCTGGGTCTTTGCTGGAGTCTTCAACACATGTAAGTACAAGATCACAAGTGCTATGAAGAATGACATTAACATTGCATGGACATTGTTGCCTGTTTATTTTAGAATGGATAAAAAATGGGTGCCTCTGCCCCTTTCAGTCCCTCTGATATTTGAAACAATTAATGTACACCTAATGCCAAGAGTATAATCTCAATTTAAAACATTGCAAGTAATGTTTGTGCAGGACTTTTTTAAAAAGTCTACAAGAACTTCATACACATCTTATCACTGCAGAAGGAATCTCAATGCACAAAGGCTGAAATGCAGTGACAGGAAGAAAGCAGCAATTCCATCTCTCTGCTTTCTATTCCCCTTAATAACGCATAAGAAACCATCATGATTCCTATAGTGTTATTGTGCTGTAGATTTCTTCACCACTGCAACTGGCAGCCAAGAAAACAGAATCAGGGCAGGGAGAAGTATGTGTTTGCCTTACTGTATATTGCTGGGAAGTGCAGCACTGAAGATAGATGCCTTCACAGCCTTGTGAAGTTCTACCCATATTTTCATGGATCCATTTTTTCATGGATTGCTGCCTTGTCGTGGTGAAGGGGCTTGAGTAACTCAGAGAAGTTATGGGCTATGCTGTGCAGGGACACCCAAGACAGACAGGTCATAGTGGAGAGTTCCAACTAAATGCAATCCCCCTGGAGTAGGAATTGGCAAGCCACTCCAGTATCTTTGCCAAGAATACGCCATGCACAGAAACAAAAGGCTAAAAGATATGACGCTGGAAGATGGACCCCTCAGGTTGGAAGGTGTCCAACATGCTAATGAGGAAGAGCGGAGGACAAGTACAAGTAGCTCCAGAGGTAATGAAGTGGTTGGGACAAAGCTGAAAGGATGCTCAGCTGTGGATGTGCTTGGAAATGAAAGGAAAGTCCCATGCTGCAAAGAACAATACTGCATAGGAACCTGGAATGTAAGATCTATGAACCTCGGGAAGCTGGATGTGGTCAAACAGGAGATGGCAGGAATAAACATTGCTCTCCTGGGCGTCAGTGAACTAAAATGGACAGGAATGGGCAAATTCAATTCAGATGGTTATCATATCTACTATTGTGGGCAAGAAGCCCATAGAAGGAATGGAGTAGCCCTCATAGTCAACAAAAGAGTGGGAAAAGCTGTAATGGGATATAATCTCAAAAATGATAGAATGATGTCAATACGAATCCAAGGCAGACCTTTCAACATCACAAGAATCCAAGTTTATGCACCAACCACCAATACTGAGGAGACTGAAACTGACCAATTTTATGAAGACTTACAACACCTTCTAGAACTGACACCAAAGAAAGTGTTCTCATTATAGGGGAACTGGAATGCTAAAGTAGGGAGTCAAGAGATAAAAGGAACAACAGTTTGGCCTTGGATTTCAAAACGAAGCAGGGCAAAGGCTAATAGAGTTTTGTCAAGAGAACAAGCTGGTCATCAATATGCAAGGGAGATAGGGAAAGTTACAGAAAATTGAATGCAGACTTCCAAAGAATAGCAAGGAGAGACAAGAGGGCCTTCTTAAATGAACAATGCAAAGAAATAGAGGAAAATAATCGAAGAGGAAAAACCAGAGATCTGTTCAGGAAAAATGGAGATATTAAAGGAACATTTTGTGCAAAGATGGACATGATAATGGACTAAAATGGTAGGTACCTAACAGAAGCAGAAGATATCAAGAAGAGGTGGCAAGAATACACAGAGGAATTATACCAGAAAGATTTGGATGTCCTGGACAACCAAGATAGTGTGGTTGCTGACCTTGAGCCAGACATCCTGGAGAGCAAAGTCAAGTGGGCCTTAGAAAGCTTATCTAACAACAAAGCCAGTGGAGGTGATGGCATTCCAGTGGAACTATTTAAAATCTTA